TTTCTGAAACACTCTCCTTGACATACATTTTTAGGAGATAATACCTCTTCCCATTAGGCAAATAATGAACTGAGAATTAACACTTTCAATTATATGCAACAGCAAGTCTGACATACCAAATTAGAGGTTTTTTACACTAATGGTTTTGATTCTCGCTTTCTCAGACTCACTCTATTAACAAATGATATTTGATTTACTTGATCCTTAATTTATTCAAGCAGGAAACACAGTTTTACTGAAGCATTTTGAAATTATCATTATTTATATCTGAATGAAAAACTTCTCAAAATGTAAATCAGTCTGAATAATCAATTGCAAAACTAGTGAAGTATAATATATGGCCAAATGTAGTTTTAAGAAAATGCAGGAAAGAAAGAAATAGTCTGCATTCAGTTATAGAAAGAATATTCACCGTAACGAAAGCTTTGGTACTTTGGGTCTGGCCATCTTTATATGGTTAACTCTCCTATTAAAGACAATAGGATTTTTGGCTAAGTAATGAACCTGTAAGAATGCAGTGTATCATTCTTTATATAGGAAAGTCCTATGATGTTTCAGTGGAGGGTTCAATATTTTTAACACATAACTTATCATACAAAATTTAATTTAAAAAGGACTTCTGTGATCATCATTTTATAGTCAGTGCCTTACAAAAATTGATCAATATTTGTGTTACAGAAAAGTGCTGAATTTCTTACGCACCTGATTAATGCATTGTTATCATCGCAGTAATTAAAAGGAACAGGGTTATACACAATCAGCATGATACATCTTATTCAGCACCTTCTGGCAGTTGCCTGCAAAAATTAAACTCATTAATCACTGAGATGTCAACAAATAAAAAGCTTGGAAAAGGTGAAGAAGCTTTATTTTATGGGGAAAAAAAAAATCTCAAGTCAACATCCAGGAGAAAATCTTTACCACAGTACAATATGGAAAACATTAACCTCATCAATCTAAAAAGGGTAATTGTGTCACCAAAATTCTTCATAATCTGCTATACCGCCACACTAGATTTTACTAAGAGTCTTCACAGATATTTCTTCATATCTAAATGAATGTAGTGAAAAGGTAAACATATAACAAAGCAAAAACGTCATTGGAATTTTGGTTATATCTGTTGCAATAATTAACTCCTATATCAGTACTGCCATGGAGTCATTTAAGAAGCGGTTTTCTGGGATCATTTATGCAGGATCTAGTTTCTTCATTACTCCTCCCATAAATAACATGACTGTCTCCTCAGGCTAATAATTAACATTAAAAAATTGCAATATTTAACCCAGTTTTTGTTCACAAGTTAGGCCTACTATATATATTTTCTCATATACCTACCATGACTTGAAACACAGTAAAAACTTGTTCAAACACTAAAGAATGTTGTGACTTCTGCTTTGCTATATTTTCATGTTACAAAACCAATGTTCTCAAGTCCATCTCAATGATGACTGTAAAACGAAGCAAGCAAGTATCCCATTAAGTCATGATTATCTTGGTTTTAAAGTTTGTTTATCACAAAGTTACTATTTCCTCTTTGGCTTCATATAGGCTTTATCTAGGTTTCATCTAGTATTTTTCCATCAGCAGTACTTACAGCAGACAAAATGCTTACTGACAATACTGTGACCTTCAAAGGCAAGATCCTGTGTTTCCCTCTGTTTTACACTGCATTGAAGTCTGTACTGGTGCTTAAAAATATAGTACTGAATGCAGCACATATTTCAATAGGGAAAGTCATCATCAGTAATGTATAAAACAACCTCAGTTTTCTTCTGATTTTTAATCACATGACAAACTTAGGAACAGAGCAGTCTCATTCTCAGGTTCATTTTGGTATTTCCAAGTATGGCCAGGCAACAAAACTTTCTTTCTGTATGTTTAAGCTCTGGTTTTATCTTACTAGATTGATATTGAAGGATGAAAGAAAATGCAAATGCTCTGCTATAGTATTTCTGTAAAACAGAAAACAGATGTCTAATCATCTTAGGAAGAGGTTGCCAATGCTGTTGTGTTACGTCCTTCCCCATGATAAGCAACAGCGCATGGTTCTGAAACCCTGCACAAACCGCCCTTCTTGCACTTCTCCCACAGTCCTTGCCCACTGCCTGTCTCACTTTTCCCTTTGCCTTGGGGATTTCATGTCCGGGGCTGCGTTCACTTGTCTTGGGCAGGCCTGCCTGTTGCCACGGGGGGCAGGAGAGAAACACCCCCTGTCCGCCGGGATCTCACCACGGCCAAGGGCCAGTTCGCCTCGACGCCGGTCTGGGGCGGGTTCAGCACGACGGACAGCTCCCCGTGCGCCGGGACAGCCGCGTTTCGGCACCGCGGACAGCTCCTCCTGCCCGCCCCGTGGGCTCAGCACCGCGGACAGCTCCAACTGCCAGCCCCGTGGGCTCAGCACCGCGGACAGCTCCGGTCCGTGGGGCTCAGCACCGCCGACAGCTCCGTCCCTCCGCTCCCCACGGCAGGACACACCCCCACCCCCCCCACCCCGAAGGCCCTTCCCACTGGCTCCCTCACGGCCTCATCCTTCCCACCTCAACATCGCTCCACCACAGACCCCCAGCGCAGGCTGCATGGTCTCTGCCGGACGGGAAAGCCTCTGAACTGTCCGACTCGGTCCACTGCACTTTCTCAAACAGGTTGCCCTCCCTTTGAAAAATAATTCATCCAGAGAGCCCACATGCATATAGAAGTCAGCCCAAATCCCTGTTTCTGGCCCTGCTTTTTGTATTTCATGGCAAGAGACACCTTGGTTGACACCTTTCCCTCTACAGACGGTATCACCTAAAAATGCTCTCCACCCACACCCAAACCCCGAGGGGAGAAAAGAAAAAGAAAGAGGGAGAGAGAGAAAGAAAGAGGGAGAGAGAGAAAGAAAGAGGGAGAGAGAGAAAGAAAGAGGGAGAGAGAGAAAGAAAGAGGGAGAGAGAGAAAGAAAGAGGGAGAGAGAGAAAGAAAGAGGGAGAGAGAGAAAGAAAGAGGGAGAGAGAGAAAGAAAGAGGGAGAGAGAGAAAGAAAGAGGGAGAGAGAGAAAGAAAGAGGGAGAGAGAGAAAGAAAGAGGGAGAGAGAGAAAGAAAGAGGGAGAGAGAGAAAGAAAGAGGGAGAGAGAGAAAGAAAGAGGGAGAGAGAGAAAGAAAGAGGGAGAGAGAGAAAGAAAGAGGGAGAGAGAGAAAGAAAGAGGGAGAGAGAGAAAGAAAGAGGGAGAGAGAGAAAGAAAGAGGGAGAGAGAGAAAGAAAGAGGGAGAGAGAGAAAGAGAGAGGGAGAGAGAGAAAGAGAGAGGGAGAGAGAGAAAGAGAGAAACACACACACACACCCAATCTTCTTTTAGTAGTTTAGTATTATTCTTATTAATATTATTTTGGAGCCTGTCAGCACAAATCACTCGCACATGCTAAACTGCGTCCTTTGCTTCCAGGCTCAGCGCTTCTGGTGATCAGAGAAGCGGCTCCAGACATCTGCCATCTCCAAATCCAGGCAAGTAAAATTAAAACAGTCAAATATGAGGAAAACGTGTGGGAGCCGGGCCCCGGCGGCGGCACTCCGCTGGCTCACAGCGACACCTACAGCCCAGCACGGCGGGAAGGGCCCCGCGCCCACGGCCACGCCGCGGAAGGGTCACGCGTGGCTGCGGCCAGCCAGGCACCAGGACGGGTCCCTTCCCGCAGTTGGCCAAGGCCAAGGAGCAGCAGCGTCAGGATCGCTGGTGGCGGGCGGGTCACAGGGACGAGTTAACCCAAGGTCCTGTCACCGCCGGTTCGTGGGGCCACCCTCGTGGGAACCGCCGCGGGGAGGTTTGGGTCGGTTTGCCTCGGCGCTGGCAAAGGCGCGTTTGCTCTACGGACCGCCAAAGTCTTTGCGAAGGGACTGGAAAACGGACAGGAAATTAAAAGACAAGCCGAGGAAGTTTCCCTGCGAACACAACTCTCTCTCCAAGCCGGCTGGCTCGGCTGGAAGCGGTGCCTTTCCCCCGAGGGCTCCCGGAGCCGGAGCTCAGCCCTGTCGCAAAGCTCACGTGTCCCACCCGGGCAAGAAGCATTTTTAACAGACACAAACATTATTCCCAACCGCAGCCATTTGCTTCCCCTTGTGCGCGCTTCTACAGAGGCAAACCACACTCAAATCCCTCTGCAAACCTCCCATCACCCAGTGATGCGGAGCCACCCGGTTTCAGCTATGGCCGGCCCTTCTTCCTCTCCCCACTTCCCAAATCCCCCTTTCCGCCCCCCCCCCGAAAGAACAAGGCGCGAACGACCTAAGCAAGTTTAACTCCATGAGGAAGAGCAGCGAGCCGGCGGCCTGGATGAGTCACTCGTTACTAAGGCGATATGCAGATACACCCTGTGAAGTCGCTACTCTCGGAGGCAGCGCGGGAGCGGAAGGTGCGCGGCCGAAGTTTGCGGCTTCCCCGCGGGGGCTCGCCCGGGGGCGGCGAGGAGGGACAGAGCCCCAAAAACGGCTGCTCAGGGGTTAAAAAGTTTCCCCGCTGCCAGGTTGGAAGGAGGCTAACGGGAAAGCAAGGAGGGAGGGACAAGGTGAAGACTTGTGCCCCGGGGGAGTGTTAAAGGGTAAAACGTGGAATAACAATTAAAGAAGAAAAAAAAAAAAAAAAGGGGGTGGGAGCCTTGTCGCCTCGCTCGGAGGTAGACGGCCTGAGCTTGCACTGGCCGTTTCCAAACGTGCTGACCCCGCGCCCCCCCCGCCCCCCCTCCGCCCTGCTCCGCGGTAGCGGGGAGCCGCGCAAGGAGCCAGATAACGGGGAAGGGTGCGGGGGCTGCGCGGGCTCCGTCCCGGACTATCTCCGTCACTTCGGGGGAAGAGAAGAGGGGGCGCAAAGACCCGCTTGGAAGAACGGACAAGAAATAACCGCCAGCCTCGAGGGGCACCCAGGCAGGTCCAGCAGGGCGGTGGGGAGGGGGGGGGGGGAGAGGGGGGGGGGCGGGGAGTCCGGGCACCCAAACCCCAACCCAACCCGACCCGACCGACCCCGGCGCTTACATCCTCCTCCTCGCAGTCACTTCGCGGCTGGTACTGGAAGCGGGGCCGGCTGCTTTCCTGGTGCGCTGGAGGCGCGGGTTTGCCGGCAGCACCGTCCTCCTCGCTGCTCGGGGCGCCCAGGAGGCGACTCGCCTCGGGGGGGACGGGGAAGGAGCGGGAGGTGTTGATCTTCCCGCTGAACCGCTGGTACAGTGAAGCCATGAAGTCAATCCGCGGGAAACGAGGGGGAGGGAGGGAAAGAGAGATGCTTCTCCCGCTTTCTCTCTCTTTTTTTTTTTTTTTTTTTTTTTTTTTTTTTTATCTCCCCCCTCCTTTCTTCTTTTTTGGCTACAGCATGCTACACGGGGGCAAGGCTCAGTCCCACTTCAGTGGAAGGGAGAGAGGAGGGATCCTGCTCCCCGGTCCTCTGCACCGGCACCCGGAGAGAAGCGCGGGGGGGGTGGGGGGGGGGATCGAGAAGGCAGAGAGGAGGGGAGTGATGGGGGGAGAGGAGAGAAGATAGATAAATAAATAATAAAGCGCAATCGAGCCGTAACACCACAGGCCCCGGGAATGCTGCACCATCCAGTGTCGGGGGAAAAAAAAAAAAAAAAAAAAAAAACAAAAAAAAACACCAAAACACTCCACGAAGACGTACCCCCGATAATGGCGCCTGAGTGGATCAGCATTAAATGTGCTTTGGGGGTGTGCGTGTGTGTTTGCAAAAGCGGGGGGGGAGAGAAAAAAAAAAAAAAAATGGAAGGGGGGCTGGCTCAATCGCTGTCAGCGGCTCCCCAGGCAGAGGTGGCGGAGCAGTCGGCTCCGAGGTCGCATACCAACAGTGTGCACAAGGCAGAGGCAGAGTGACAGAGTGTGAGACGGAGTGGAAGAGGCTGGGAAGCCTCATTCAAAGCACGTTGCTGTTCTGGGGAGGGAGGGCTCTTCTACAATCACCTCCTTTTCGGCACCTTCTTTTTCTTCTTCCCAATTTTTTTTTTTTTTTCCCGGGGAAACAACTTAAAAAAAAAAAAAAAAAAAAAAAGAGCAACAGACACCTGATCGCCAGCCGTGAGAGAGAAAGAGCGGTGGGGAGAGGGAAGGCGAGGCGGAGAGGAGGGAGGCGGGACCGGCAGCTGGGGGCGGCCGGGGTGCCCCGGGGAAGGGGCAAGCGGGGGGAGCGGCTCGTTCTGCCTGGGACCGCCGCGGCGAGCGGGCGAGCTGGCAAGTGGCCGGTCACCACCTTCCCCCGCCTCCCCACGGCTGGGGAGAGGAAGGGGGTGTGGGGGGTGTTGTGGGTTTTTGGAGGTGGTGGTTGTTGTCTCTTTTTTGTTTTGTTTTGTAAAGAATCCGGTAAATCGTGTCTCTTACTATTTTTGTATTAATTCATTTTTGCTGCATTAAAACGTGCTCCAGCGCCCCTCAGTGGGAACCCGCCCGAAGTGGCTCCGGCACCACCAGCTGAGGATAAACAAGCGCGGGTCCGGCTCCGGGGGCCGCCGGTCTGGGGTTGAATCCGAATCCGGATCCTAATCCGAATCCGGAGCGGGACCGCCCCCGAGGACCGCCCGCCGCCGCGGCCCTTGCGCCGCCGCTGAGCGGCCCTTGCGCGGGGGCGCGGGGCCCCGCGGGCGCTTCCTGAGCGCTCCGCTCCCGGGGGAGGGAATGGGCAAGTGCTGAGGGAGACACGGGGGGGGGGGGGGGGAACAGCGGGGGCACGGCACAGCCGCATCGGGCCAGAGGGGAACAATTCCTGTTGCTTCAGCATCAAGCTCCGGGGTTTCCATAGCAACAGATGCTTAGGTTTAAAGGAAAAAGGCAGAGTTGCTGTCCCCTTTCCTCTCTGAAATCCTCATCCTCTCGCACCTCTAAGTTTGCCAGAGATACCGGGATCACCGGGCATCCTTTTGCGAGGAACACACAAAGCGTAAACCAGAGTTTGCCCATTCCCATCGAGGGACTTGCTGCTGGAGAGCTCACAAACTTGATTATACTTTAGCAAGTGGATTTGATGGGCTGAGATGTTTCTAAACGCAGTTCTTACTTAAAGTTTTAGCTGTTAAGAAAACACCATCTTTGATATATGTAATTTCATCAGTCTTAAAAAAAAAACCACCTCATTAGATCATGTATCCAATACTCTAAAGTGCAACCATCCCCCCTTCTATCATTTCAACAACTGCCTGATCAAAAATCTCTTTACATCTGAATAGTTTCACCCACTGCTTTTTATTTGTGTCTTCAAAGTCAGGGATGAAAAGTCTTAACATTTAGATGAAAAGGGAACCTTATCTCATCAAGTGAGAAAACAAAAACAAACACTCTGCCTCCTTCCTGACAGAACCTGAAAGAAAGAATCATTTTGATCTTCACAACTGAGATCCTGACATTTAATTAAAAAACAAGATGATCACACAATGCTCTGAAGCAAAGGTCTAGCTTCTAAGTCATAGCGACATCCATCATAACAGAGGTAGCTTTCCAGAAGCCACTTGTACCCCTCGTAAGTTATGTTTCAGACACAAATTGGCTACATACTACCAAAAATCTGCACAGTTAGCTCAGCTAAATTCTATCTTGAACCGCATTAAGAGTGATTTTACTACTATTCAAAATTGGTGACAACTAGCTCTGAAAAAAAATAAAGGAACGAGGGAACCAAATTAAAAGAAATAATACATTTTTAACTTCTAAGGAAAACTAGGACACAAGGAAATAATCAAAGAAAGCAAAAAAAATAAGGCAAGACGAAACCACCAGGCAGAAAAAAACACCAAAGATTAAATGTCTGAATTAAAATGTCTCAAAGAAAGTACAGAAAAAAAGAATACATTCTGCCTCACACATCAGTTCCAAACTCAAAAAGCCACTAAGGACCAATTCAGTTCTAAATACAGTTTGTGGTTTTAATTCTTAAGAATTGAGATTTCACATAATCAAGTTTGTCCAGTCATGCACACACACATTGTGCATGTATGTGTGTACACAAGTCATGGAAAAATTATATTAAGTGAACATAAAATTGCAACATCAAATACTTTAAAAGCTCAGTGAAAAACAACCAGCCAAATGGTCCTCATCCACCAAAAAATCCTGATCATGCAGCTTTGGGCTGTGATTCATTTGTCCTGAAATAAATAATTACATCTATTTAAAGGCCTTCCTTATTCCAGTTCTCTACTCCATGACAGACCAGGGACAGCAGAAGCAAAGTCACGTCATGCTCTGGGTGTTGTGGTGGGTGAAGGAAGGCGGTTTGCACTGGTTGGGAACTGCAAGACACGTCTCCGTAGCCCTGCTACAGCGAGAGTGACCTTGTGTAGAAGGGCTGAGCAGGCAGCTGGAGGCAGAAAAACCCTGAATAACCACCTGCAATAAGATTCACCAGAATCAGTCTGTCGATGCCATTATTGAAAGCAGGAGGCTTTCTCTGAGTCATAGGGGACCCAGATGATTTCATTAGGGACTCTGGAGAGCACTTCAGTCTGCCTGTGCACAAGTTATCTCAGGATGTAGCTTGTTCCCTACAAGTGGGTCTTACGGTAGTCCTGTCCGCCTCGCAGGGACGCAACCCAGTGCTCCTGAGTCACAGCTCAGTGCTGGAAGTCCTCCACTCGCAATTCCACGGTTAATTTGCTGTTCACCTGTGCGTGACACGGAGCCCAGAGTCCTCTACAGTGTCCCGGTTCTACGACCAGATACTGCCATACAGTGTGCACACCAACAGGGCACAGAAAACAGGAAGGAGCCCAAAAAAAGAAACACAGGAATCACTGAGACATGATATTAAAATGGCAACAAACACACATCATATCAATCACAGAGGTTTCATTACAGCAAAAGAACTTCTCAGCCTGTGATGAGATTCCAGGAGAAAGCAACTTGCATTGTGAAATAAGTTTAAAGAGGCAAAATATTTCAGAAGTACAAATATAAGATTGTTTTTAAACACACATCTTATATGCAAAAAAGATCCTTTCCCTAAATCCTGCAAACAGACCCCGAGATAAAAATCTAGGCATTTCAAAACAGTGTCCTCAAGCATCTCTTAGTTGTATATTTAATTCAGTATCCAAAGTTTTGCAAGGTTTGATTCCTAACTAGTGACATTTCCATCAAAATAAAGTGTGTTAGCTTAAGATATTTTCCCTGCAGCAGCAAAGTAATTATGTTTTACTGACATTTTTAAAGCACACAGATAAAAATGACACTTGGTTTTTCCATGTTGTGTAAATAAACAGCATCACCACATTTCAGCACTATTAATGTAACGCTATCAAAAGCAGGTCAAACCCAAGCCCTACTGCCTTTAAAACTGCACATAAAAGATTTCTTTTTGGACAAGCCTTCTCAGAATAATACTGGCAAAGAAACAATCCAGTAATACTTCGCTTGGATATTTTTTTTTTAAATATTACTTCTGTCTGTCAAGGAATTCAAGCATTGTCATGCATGTTCCAGTCTTCTGTTCTGACTAAGCAAGTTATGTTTGCATAAACTTTGAACTTGTCATCTAAATAATACAGTTTGTTGCAGAGCTAAACATGTTTCTAGTTTTCATTTGGTGATAGTTATAAACAGCTGATTAATGAATTTTTAACAAAAAATAATTTTTCAACAGTTCAAGTACAATTTCTATTATTGTATTTTACTTTTCCAATGAACTTTTAAAGGGATTTTAGAATTTCCTGGTTATCTTTTCATACAACTCAAACCTCAAATTCATAGTTGTTCTTAAAATTACTGTATATGTTATTATAATCCCTCTGATTTTTTATAATAGCAACTCTCCAGGCACTACCGAAACAAAGATATGCTATTTTAACTCCTATTACTATTGTCAGCCAAGATAAAAACATCCAACTTGCAAATCTCTAATGGCCCCAGGCTTATGCCATCTATACATCTGCTGTCTAGTGTCATCTAAAAACCCAAACAAACCAAAACAGAACAGAAATTCTCTTTCCTTTGTCAAATCCACCAATTCAGTAGTCCCAGAGGATACATCTGATCATTCATTTTGATCTAACGTGTGTGCTGGGGGGAGCATTCCACTGTGTCAAGATATGTGACACTGGGGCTGCCGAAGACCGAGGACTATTATATACTGTGGAATTAATATGCTGATCTGTTCACCTTCTTATGTCATTATTTGTGAGAGTAGGATTGAGGAGAAAATTCTGTAGAAATGCAGCACTGGACAGTGAGTGAGCTTGGGACACAGAGAGGCATATTTCTCTTTGGCATCACACGTATTATTTAAAAAAATATTTTTTCAGGCCTTACAACGATTCAAGAAAACCTAAAGAAACCCAAACCCTTAAACAAACAAATAAGCTACCTTTCCAGGCTTGACTAAGAGAAGCACTGGAAAATTTAGTTTTCTGGGCACTGCAAGAATAATTAAATCTTCCACAAGTGGTTGAATTAAGGCTTTTTGTGGGGAAAAGAAAACACTGATACTCAAGTACTGGGAACAGTAGGCAAAGATGTTTGTACAGGATACAAGGTTTTGGGGAAAAAAGAAAGCAGGCTGGAAGAAAAAGCTCTTTGCGGGAAGAGATGGACCCAGAGGGAGCACTGAAGAAAGAAAAACAGAAGCACATAGAAGAGGCAGGGACACCACGGAGTACCAGGAGGGTTGAGAGAGAAAGGAGACGAAGGCAAGTGAGGTCAAAGAGGCAGAAAACAAACAGACCAAAGCTGGCAGAGATGGAAAGCACCAGCACGCCTGGAGTGTCAGGAGCCAGGCTGGAGAGGTATGAGGTTAATTGGAGCCACACAATGGGAGGATTTTCAATGCCAGGGAGATCAGCTGCTCTGGAGGGCACTTCTGGCACCTGGTGCATAAATGTTCGCTCAGTGGTTAGCAGACAGGTGATTTTATCCACCAAGAGTCTTGATACACACCTAGGCCTAATTCAGTGAAATCAAGAACACATAGCTGAATATCAGCAAGTGCTTCCTGATGGTGTGAGCAGGACTGTTTCCAAAGGAAATGGGTAAAAGTCCTAATGCTGAGGACATTTATAAATAGCCTGTTGTGCTGTAAGGCATAATCCTGCCAACTGGTAAAAGGGTAGACCACATGGCCGA